CTCCCCTCCCACCCCTGGTAACCAATAAAGAAAATGTCCATGCCAGAATTTTGAAAGACCAACTTATTTACTGCAAATACTATTTTTCAACAACATTAATGGTGACTACAGATATGGACCACAGTGGATAGAATACACAGGAATCAAATTGACTACATCTATGGAAAGAGCCAATGAAGACCAAAATGGATGTCAGAAGAGACTCTGAAACTTGCTCTTGAATGTAGACTAGCTAAAGCAAATGGAAGAAATGATGAAATAAAAGAGCTGAATGGAAGACTTCAAAGGGCAGCTCAAAAAGACAAAGTATTATAATGAACTGTGCAAAGACCTGGAGTTAAAAAACCAAAAAGCTGGTAATACTTGTCCTCCAAAGCTTACAATCTAGTTTCAAGAAAAGAGGCACATCTGTCCCACAGTTAAATCACAAAATGAAAAAGCATGGAAACAAATTCCTGATGGAAGGTTTAAGGAGAAAGGTTGAATAAATGTACCTACCCTTCAAGATGGTAGGAGTCCTGGTGGCACAGTGGTTGAGCTCTCAGTTAACAACTGAAAGATCAGGGATTCAAACCCACCAGCTCTGTAGGAGACAGATGTGACAAGGTGCTCCTGTGAAGATTACCATACTATACTCATTGCCATTGAGTAGATTTCAATTCATAGCCACTTTATAAGACATAGTAGGACTTCCTCACAGAAGTTCCAAAGCCCTAACCTTATGGAGGGAGCTCTGGTAGCATAGTGGCTAAGACACTTGCCTGCTAACCAGACGGCTGGCGGTTCAAACCCACCAGCCACTCCTCGGAAGGAAGGTTGGGCAATCCTACTTCCGTAGTGATACTGCCTCGGAAACCCAAGGAGGGGTCGCTATGAGTCGGGGCCGACTCGACGGCACATAACAACAACAACAACAACCTTATGGAAGCAGATTGCCAGGTCTTTCTCCTGCAGAGTGGTTGGTGAGTCTGAATTTTGGTTAGGAGTTAAGTGCTTTAATTACAGTGCCATCAGGTCTCTTTGGAAACCCTATGAGGCAATTCTACTCTGTTCTATTGGGTTGATATGAGTTAGAATCTACCGGAACATCAACTGGTTAAAGAACTATTTGCATCGTTGTTCCCAAGTTTGGTTAGTTATGGTCATACTCTATTTTACCACAGTCCAAGACCAAGGTAACATTTCCTTATGTAAACCATAAAAACAGCTTCAACAATAGGTGCTTTCCCTGGCTGTAAATCAGGAATAAGTACCTGCCTGGCTGACTTCCACAAGGGTCATTCTGAGGTCCATGTGAGATAAAGCACAAACCAGTAAAAACCAAGGGAGCTCTGGTAGCATTTTGCCTAAGGCACTTGACTGAAGGCTGGTGGTTCAAACCCACCAGCCACTCCTTGGAAGGAACATTGAGCAATCTACTTCTGTGTGATGTTGTTGTTATGTGCCCTCAAATCGGACCCAACTCATGGCGATCCCTCCTTGGGTTTCCGAGGCAGTATCACTATGGAAATGGATTGCCCAACCACCTTGGAAAACCAAGGAGGGGTCTCTGTGAGTCGGGTCTGACTCAAAGGCACATAACAACAACAATAAAACCAAAGCCAGGCTGATTCTAACTCATGGCTATCCCACCTGTGTGAGAATAGAAGCGTGCTCCATAGGGCTTTAAATGGGTGATTTTTTGGAAATAAATCACCAGGCCTTTCTTCCGAGGTGTTGTTGGTGGACTAAAATCTTGAGCCTTTAACCTTTCTGTGAGTAGCCAAGTGCATTAACCATTTGCACCACCCACGGGCTCCAAAGCACACACAGTGCTACCAAACGGTAATGCCTGTGGTTGCTGGAGAGTCCAGCTTCTAATTCTTCTCAGCCATCCTGTCCCACTTTGAATGAACTGAGCTACATCAACAAGCCAGAAACTAAAGTGTATAAGGAAGAGGGAGGCAGATCATAGCTATAACTTTTATGATATATGTGTCTTATAGTTGACAAATCACTTTATATCCATTATTTCCTTTGAGTATTAGAGCAACTCTCTTTAGGGAAGGAATCATCATCTTCATCTTCTGGATGAAAAGGTAAGTTATTTAGAATGTAAATGATCTGCCTAAGGTTACATTAGGAGACAGCAGAACTGGGCTCAGATTCCGTTTCCTTAGAGTCCAATTCTTGCGAACTTTCCTCAGAGCCACATCTGTTCTGTTCCCTCACTTCTGAGCAGCCACTACTGTCTACAGAACACATTCCATGTTTCTTCTTCCCTTTTTACCTCTGCTCCTTCCCCAGCAGCATCAGGCCCGGGGAACAGCACAGATGCGGTAGCTGACAGGGCAAAGGGTGAGGCCCATTCTGAACTTCAGGCTCAGCTTCTCATTGGCTGGGGGCCTGAAGGTTAATTTTTGTACAAGGGACGTGAAGAAAATAAATAGCTCTGCCCTGGCCAACTGTTCTCCAAGGCAAGCCCGTTTTCCTGAAAGGCAAAAACAAGACTGAATTATCTTCCCTGGTAGAGGAGGTGCCTGGCAGGGACTGAAATTCTCTCCCCCATCCTGCCAAACCTGAGCAGAGGAAGGCCTTGCTAGTCCCCAAGGTTTTATTTATAGCAGACTGTTTAATTCCAACAACAACCTGAGTAAACTAAGGCATAGAAAATTAAGTACAGATCACAGACTTCACAGATCAGGCCAGGGGAGCACAGGAGTGCAGGTGCTGGGTGCCAAATAATAAGGGGGCTTGGGTCAATCTAGAAAGTGGATGAGTCACCTAAAGGCTTTCAAGGACTAGCAAACAACAATAACAAAAGCAGACAACAAAACCGAAAATTAAAAAACAATAAGAACAAAACCCAAAAACCAAACCAATCGCACTGCCATTGAGGCGATTCTGATGCAGAGCAACCCTGTAGGACAGAGTAGAACTATTGCACAGGGTTTCCATGGATGTAAATCTTTACAGAAGCAGATTGCCTCATCTTTCTCCTACAGTGACTGATGGGTTCAAACCGGTGACCGTTTGGTTAGCAGCTGAATGCCTCAACCACTGTACCACCAGAGCCCCTATAATAACAAAAGTGACAACAAAATAGTAATAACAATAAACAACACTGTTACATTTTTCAATCTTGAAAAGAAATTCCCCAAAGGTATAAACAATTCAAATATCAAAGCTGGGGTTCTAATGTACAAGCAGCTCTACTGGGTGGATAGTGTGCCCTCAAAATTGATATCATGCTCAGAACCTTAAAATGTAGCTTTTTTTTTTTTTTTTTTAAATAGGGTCATTGCAGATGTAATTAGTTAGATAAGGTCATACTGGAGAGTAAGATGGGCCCTCAATCCAATGTGACTGGTATGCTTATGAGACGAACACACAAGGAAAAACTCATGTGATGACAGAAACAGACACTGCAGTGCCAAGCACTGCAGACCAGAAGCTGGGAGAGAAGCATGGAAGAGACTCTCCCTCAGAGCCCCCCAGAAGGACATAATCTTGCCTACATCTTGATTTTAGACTTCTAGCTACCAGAAATGTGAGAGACTTGGTTGTTTTATGTCCCATAGTTTGTGATACATTGTCAAAGCCACCCTCAACATGAATATAGAATATAGAATCTTTCCCCTATATCCCATTTTCCTCCTTAATTATTGGGAATCTCACAGACATAGATTGTCCTTTCCACTGGAACAGCCTCCCTGTCTACCACAGAAGTCCTTCTCAAACTAGAGCCTTTGTTTCTAGCGTTGAGCCCAAGGCTGATCCTTCTCTTCACTGTTCACACACGGCACTGCCCTGCCCTGCCCACTCTCCATTTCCTGATACAAGAGTAAAGAAAGAACTGGAAGCAGAATGATGGAGATCCAATTCAACTATTCCCACTTTCTAGCCATATGTTTTGGGGCAAATTAAGTGTGGTAGTTTGTGTGTCAACTTGGCTGGGCCTGGTTGAGGCTGGGCAGCTGGATATAGTATTTACCATGATGAGACTGGTAATCAACTCCATGGTAGAACCTACTGTGAGCAGCTGAGAGGCTGCCTTAGGGATGTGGTCTGTTTCCAGTATATAAGGAGAAGCCTTGGGGAATGGTCTCTAGCTTATGGCATGCTTGAACCCTGCATGTAGCCATGCCATTGTTCAGCAGTCTGCTATGCTCTGCCAACCTTGGGACTTTCAATGGACTTGAATTAATGGCCTGCCATGTGGTTTAGTAACATTGGGATTGTGCCGTTTTACTTGTCAACCTTGGGCTTGTCAGTCTCAGCAACCAGTAGCTGTCTGAGTGAAGAAAAGCCTCTGGCCCCAAAAGGCCGGGAGCAGGAGGCAGAGCTAAAGCCCAATTTTGAGGAGCTTTCACCCAGCCCCTAGAGCCTGGCACTTTGAACTTAGACTTAAAACCTCCAAACTGTAAGAGAATAAACTCCTGTCTGTTAAAGCTATCCCATCTGTGGTATATTTCTGTGAGAAAAGCACTAGGTAACCAGAACATTAAGTAAAGTAATCTATCTTAGCATTAGTGAAAATGTGTGTGTATGATGAGAATTTTATTTCACATATTGTGTAGACTGTACACTGAATCTAAAAACACCAGATCATTTACTAATTTATACAGTAAAATAGTTTAAAATGTCACTTTGATAATAATAAACATTCTAGCTTTAAAATAAAACCAAAACCCAAACTCACTGCCATCTAGTTGATTCTGACTCACAGCGACCCCTCCTTGGGTTTCCCAGG